GGGAAGAGAAAGAAAAATGGAAAGAGATTTTTTTTTTACTTCAAAATTTTTTAAAAGATTTATAAGTTATATATATATATATATTAAAATTTTAATTAATTAATTAATATATTTCATTATTTTAGTCCATATGAAAAAATATAGGTGAGTTCATGTGGCAATATTAATTGCCACGTCATTATTTAATGAAAAAAATAACGGTCAAACTAACAGAGATATGAAGATGATAAGAAAATAAACATTATATATGTGACTGAGACGAAATAAACTTGATGTATCAAAGGCTAAAATTCAATAAACTTCAATGTAATAAAATGAAAATTACCCTATTTGTCCACTAATAATTGTCCCCACATGCATAGCAATCAAAAGAAAGGGAAAAAAAAAACTTAATATAAAGTAACCAAAGTGGAATGACATAATCAGCTTGTCCAAATGACCTTTGTCAATCTTTTATCCTTTTGTAAGGAAAGTCCACAAAAACTATTATTTTAAGATGATGAGTTTTATGTGAAAGAGAAAAAAAAAAGGATTCTTAAATGGTTTTTATCACAAAACGTCCTCGAGGTTTACAAAATTATTAAGTTGTGTCATTTATGTTCCCTGAGGTTAGCATCCATGCTCACAAATAGTCTCTAGGTTTCATCAAGAATTTCATTAACTTACTCATGTGTCACATATATGGAGCACACATATCCAATAAAATAGTGCCAAGTGGATTTAAATGAAAAAAAAAATTCAACATAATAGAAAAATTAAAAAATATTTATAAAAAAAAAAAGAAAGAAGAAAATATAATTTAAAAAATTGTATATTTTAACATTTAAATTCAATTAAAAATTAAAACAAAGCAACTCTCTCTCTCTCTCTCTCTCTCTCTCTCTCTCTCATTGGGGGGTGATGGTGATGGTTGTGACGGTTGGATTTTCGCCGGACGAAGAGGAAGGTGGATTGGTGGAGTGAGAGAATAATTGTTGGTTGAGATGTTTCCAGATTTTTTGTTTAAATTTTTTTATAATTTTTTTTAAAAATATTTTTTGGTTAAATCCACATGGCATGTGCTCCACATATGTGCTAATTTATTTTGGTTGATTGAGAATGGTGCTAATTTCTTTTTCTTTTTTCTTAATATATTTATTTAAGTTCATACGGAAATTAATGGCAGGGATTATTTATGAGCAAGAGTCTTAACTTTAAGGACTATTAATGCCAAAAAAAAAAAAAAACATAAAGACCTTACATGATAATTTTGTGAACCTTGAGGACGTTTTGCAATAAAAATCCTTTATTTATTGAACACATGTGATTTTTCAACTAAATAGTTGCAAACAACCCCACACATAGAACACAAGCAGAAAAAAAAAATGATATTTAGTTATGTATTCATTACTTTGATGTCATATTGAGTGTTTTGATGAAGTTCTGAAGTTAGGCTTGTTTTAGGAAATGATGACGGTTTTGTAATTTATAGAAAGTTCAAATTCTCTTTGTTATATTGTAAATAAACTTTATACAAATTTATAAATAAACCCAATCCTAGACATGTATTTATAAAAAAACCCAATCACTATTTAAACATAGAAACACACCCAAAATCAACCTCAAAGTCAACTTTTTGGGTGTGTTTATATGTTTAAATAGTGCTTGGGTTTTTTTATAATTTCAACTCCCATTTTGGGTGTTTTAGTGAAACTTCCTAAACTTTAAGTGTGTTTTTAGAATCCATTTCATACGGTGTTGCCTAGAGCATAGCAGTGAATCCTTAAAAAAACACAAGCCAAAACAAATTTGACTTAGCCTTTTGGAGTGGAAATGTTGATTGTTTGAAAGTCATTGAAATGGAATCTCCCCGGATACAAAATTGATTGGTCATTGTTCAGATATACAGAAAGAAAATATATACTAACCAATATACCAAAACCAAACAAGAAGAGAGGAGATTAAAAATGGCTCTGGTACCATCTCCAGCTCTGGTCGCCGAGGTTGAGATGGGTTCTGACCCCTCCGCATCCACTGTTCGAGCCACCGTGGTCCAAGCCTCCACTGTCTTCTATGACACTCCTGCCACTTTAGGTACTTTCTCTAAGCCTTTTAACTTCTTAGTTTGCTTGTACTCTGAGTGTTTGTGCTACTTTCCCAATCAAGAAATTTTGTTTTTTGTCTTCTGGGTTTTGGAAGACCACTGCATTTCTACTTTTTGGCTTGTTCAGTCAATTGTTTCACTAAATTTTAGCTAAGCAACTTGTAAATCTTGCTAATCCTTTGAAAAGTTGGAACCTTTTGTTATTTTAATCACTAAGCAAATTAATATGATCCAATGTTCAAGATTATTGCGGTTTTATATATTTGACTAGTTTTGTGTGTGTGTGTAAATCTTACTCTAGTTAACTAATACGAATTAGTCTCTTCCTTTGGTCAATCCATCCTCAATGATTCGAAAGGCTAAAGTACTTTTAGAGCAAAATTGGAGAGAAGGGGTAACATAGTCACAAGGAAGTACTTTTTGCATGTTACAATATATATGTTTTCAGGTGCCAGCATGTAATCTATTTTCCGTTAACCAGATTTGACTAACGGAAGAACCCTCAATGAATTTAATTTTCAGAAAACAAACCACAAGGTCATGTGTCAAATGGGGTGAACCCCATGGGGGTTGCCTGTACATTTCCCAGTATGGTTTTATTTGAGGAGTCCTCTGTAAGACTAATGCAAATATGGTCTTGGTCAAGCTGACGTACTTGTAAAAGAATATGCATAAGTTGCAAGCCAAATTTATTGAAGTATATTTTTCAGATGTTGTTATCTTTCTATTTTTTTGAATCCTGATTATGTTGGCAAATAAGCTTTGGGGATATGACTTTCATCTGATTCATTTTAGATGCTGCATCCAGGTTTCTTGGTTAAATTGAAAATATTTGTAGTTTGGTGGTTCTGATTTCTGATTGTATGCGTAGATAAGGCTGAGAGGTTATTGGCTGAAGCAGCTGGGTATGGTGCCCAGCTGGTTGTGTTTCCGGAGGCTTTTGTGGGTGGTTATCCACGTGGGTCAAATTTTGGCATTGTCATTGGGAACAGAACAGCTAAGGGTAAAGAAGAGTTCCGAAAGTATCATGCTTCTGCCATTGATGTTCCTGGTAAATCTACCTTGTCCTTTTCATTTTTGATGATTTGATGCATTGGTTATGCATAAGAAACTGAAATGAATTGAATTCATTAGAATGCACTGTTTGATTGAGTAGTGTTTTGAAGTGAACTATTAGGTTCTATAAATTCTTTGCTTTATTCAAGAGAAGAAATTAACTTATGTTGTGTTTACTTAAACTGCAATGGGTGTGGTCAAATGTCAGTTTATGGTTAAAATTGAAATGCAACTATTGGTAGCTATAAGTTCTTAGCTTTGTTGAAGTGAAGAGAAATAATTTCTGCTCTTTTTTTCCTAAGAAAGTTATATTCCATGAGTCTAGTGAATATTTGGATGCAAAAACAACAAGAAAAGAAAGGGAAAAGGTTTCAATTTCTTTTGCTCTTGTTGGTTATACTATAAATTTATCTTTCTCACTTAGCAAACAAGTTGTGTAAAAATTGATTTCATCGGAAAATGGCTTCTCAAAGCATGGAATGGAACTGAGCATCTTAACTCTTTTTATTTGGCAAAAAGGGATGCCAGTGTTTGGCATGAGTAGTGTGGGCATATCTATGCTGCTCGTAATCAGTTAATTGCAGCCGTGGAGAACAATGTCTCCAAAGGTGAAAGTTGTTAGGTATTTTGAACTTGTACAATTTCTTGCATAAGCTGTTAAATCCTGCAGCCCCGCACAAAAAATCCACATTATTTAGTCATCTTGTACTCCACTCCTTCTACCCTTCTGAGTTCCAATTATAGCAGGGAATGCATTCTTAAAATTGGCCTACCGCAACAGAGTTATTACTTGCCATCTGCCCTGTATGCCATGCCTGGCACAGTTGAGTCAAGCCTGCCTGTTTGTTCGTATGTTTTAAACGCATATGAGTGCTGCAAACCAGCCAACCCGTTGGCCTTTTATTTTGTATTTTGTGTGTTTTTTCCACACAACTAACTCTCTGCCCCCCTCCCATTCTCCTGCTTTTTCTACATCTCTCAAAAAAGAAATTCTGGCATGGTCCCTGTGCTAATAATGACATGGCATAACTAAGGCACAATATAGGCATGACTTGGGAACGAATCTGCTTGTGCCTCGTGCCCATGCTGGCCTAGGGCCGAGCACAAGTGGTTATTATTCATACTTTGACAGTTCCATTGCCAGCCCGATGCGAGGCACAAATGTGCCCAAATAGTGGGTAGTGTGCTCACTCAGTGCAACCCATTCTACACCTAGGACATGGATCTTATCAACTAATTGAGGTAGAAGTTATCCAAGTTCGCTTATTATTCTCCTAATATATGAATTTCAAATTTTAAGTGGAACATCAAGTGTTAATAAGTCTACCGAGGCATGCTATAATTTCCTGGTCTTAAATCAAAATGAAGACAAACAATGGGTGCTAAAACTGTCATTATTTGACCCGGGTTCGGGCTGGCAATGGAACTGTCAAAGTATGAATATGTAGTTTGACTATTTTTATTAACTAATGCAGGTCCTGAAGTTGATCGATTGGCAGCAATGGCTGGAAAGTACAAGGTATTCTTGGTAATGGGTGTGATAGAGAGAGATGGATATACACTCTATTGCACTGTTCTGTTTTTTGATTCTCAAGGTTCCTACTTGGGAAAGCACCGAAAAATTATGCCCACAGCATTGGAGCGAATTATTTGGGGGTTTGGAGATGGCTCCACAATTCCCGTGTTTGAGACTCCAATTGGAAAAATAGGCGCTGCCATTTGTTGGGAAAATAGGATGCCACTGCTAAGGACAGCAATGTATGCTAAAGGTTAGTTATTTTTTCCAGGAAATTTTGAAATCCACACTTAATTAAATTGTTCTGACTCACTTTTGTAAATACTTCAATTTTCTTCTAAGCTGCATAACAATTTAGTTCAGTGTTATATGAGTAGGGGATGGCTTTTCATAGGTGGCGCTATAGAGGCTGATATCAGGTTAAAAGGATTATTTGGCCAACTGGGTACTTGGATTAAGTATACTATTTTGCGATCTTTATGTTGGGTTGAGTCAATTGCTAAGTTCCTCAGCGATATGTGGAGTATGTTGCCTTTCATTTGGGCTCAAATTAAAATAAGATACAACCTTGATTGACACTCCTTCCTTAAAACCCAGAATGGTCTGCCAACATTTGTGGCATAATCTGGTTTTTCTTAGCAACTTGGCATTGTATCCAATACACGACTTTTCCCAGCTACTTTCTTTTGCAACTTAATAACTGAAGACCATCTGTAAGTGTTTTTAGTTGAAAACAGTTTTCTACTCAATGTGAATACATCTGTACAGTAGAAACGAGGTATTTCTTTGTGGAGTTTAAATGCGTTCTTAGCCGCTTTTTGATACTATGATGCATCCTTTTGCAATTTAATGACTGAAGAACATCTGTAAGTGTTTTAAGTTGAATAACAGTTTTCTACTCAATGTGAATACCGATGTATTTATTTGTGCGGTTTAAATGCGTTCTTAGTTCCACTTTTGATTCTATTATCTTTTATACTGAGATTTGATGCAGGATGCTTTGTTGTGTGCAGGCGTTGAAATATATTGTGCTCCTACTGCTGATTCCAGGGATGTATGGCAAGCATCAATGACTCATATTGCTTTAGAGGGTGGGTGTTTTGTCTTATCAGCTAATCAATTCTGTCGAAGGAAAGACTACCCCCCTCCTCCAGAATATGTATTTGCCGGCACAGAAGAGGAACTTACTCCAGATTCTGTTGTCTGTGCTGGAGGCAGTGTCATTATATCACCATCAGGGGCTATTCTCGCTGGACCCAATTACGATGGGGAGGCACTCATCTCAGCAGATCTTGGTATGCCATCTGTTTATATAGTGCTTCCGGTAACATCAATTATCTATACTGCAAGGTGTGCTAATATTGATTTTAAGTTACTTTTGGGATTTAGTGGAAATTAGAGGAACTTCGACTGCGAGTGAAATTGCAGGAACGTCCATATTCCTTAAATAGCTATATTGACCTTCTCTAAGCCTAGCATGATCCCATAAAATCACCTAGTAGGAATCTAATAAAGTTTAGTCATGGATAAAATATGGTGTAAATTCGAACCAAAGTACTTTACCTACAGAAGACCCTCATATAGTGGACATTGCAAGTCCAAAAATTCAAACAATAGAACTCTATGCAAAGGGAGATGCATTCCGTCTGTAGTAAAACTATCTGTACTTGTCTTTTCCTGTAAATTTTGAGTTCTTTTGTTTAAGCACTGATTTTGTTACTGACCAAATAATGGTGCATAGATCTTGGAGAAATAGCGAGGGAGAAATTTGCTTTCGATGTGGTTGGACACTATTCACGGCCTGAAGTGCTTAGCTTGACTGTCAAGGACCATCCGACAAATCCAGTGACTTTCGTGTCGGCCTCAACAAAGACTGAAGTCTCACATACACCATAATTGGTTTTCACCTGTTTTCTATCTGGGCGTGGTTCGCAAAAATGTAGACCTGTTCACTAATAAAGGACGAGCCTTTGTAGATATATGTATTATTGCTGTTGTATTTCCTCCGTAGACCGGGCCATTTCTTGCCTTGGTGTATGTTTCTGCTTCCTCAAAAGTGAAACCTAAGTACTGATTGGTACCAGAAAAGAGTTGGTACTTATGAAGTTTAAATTGATATGTTTGTGTACTTTCCTATCTGTCTATTGAGATCAAGTTCATAGACATATTTGCTCAAACTTGTTGAGTCATTGAAATAGAATGAGTGCGGCTTTTCGGCCAAAAAAAGAAAGAATCTATTTCCACTCTCCTGCCCTGTTTCTCAATGCACCTTTTAATGAAAATATTAATGAAAAGTTTACCATTTTGTGAAATGACCTCTGAGGAGACAAGTGAATAAATAAAGAAATGAAATAGCCCCCTAAAATCATCTTCTCCATCTACCATATCATTCAATCCTCTATTTGTACAATTTTTGGGCCAGAAAAAAAACAAAAGATGTTGAATGCAACTGAATTTGCTTGTGAAAGAAAAGCCTGAGTAGAATTTAATCGAATTCAATTTTGATCCAGCTGTAATTTCTTAGATATGGTAGTGTTTTTTTTTTTTTTTTTGGTCAACTTAGATATGGTAGTGTGTGCATCAAATGTTGGTAAAATTACTTGACCAGTACGGTATATTTTTGGGCTCACAAATATTTGGCATAACATTCTATTGATTTCATTTTGCCTGGAGTGTCATTGTTGTGCCTCAACCATGACGGAACAGCACTACTGCAAATTTAATTAGAGAATGAAGTTAGGGTTCCTGGGAGGAAAAACAAAAGATAACGATAAAGGGGTGGGATGATAAACTTCAAGTGAAAAGCCAAAGGGTTTCCATAGCTCAGTGGTAAGAGCATTTGCATTCACTCTCAAGTTCAAACCCTAATGACACCTACCCCCTCCCCCTTCCAAACTCTGACCCAAAAGAAAGAAGATAATCTTCAAGTGAAAAGAGTGTATTAGTAATAAGGCATTTTAAGAATAATGGTGGTGAAAAGAGAAAATTATTAAAAAAAATTCCAATTTATGGGGTGGAAAAGTAAGGTGGGTAGGAAAATAGGACATAGGCAAGAATAGAAACACTCAATAGAATATCATAATAGAACTGTTTATTTAAAATAAGATGTCATGTAGAATGAACAAAAATTATTGAGTACATCAGGGCGCCATGAGATGCGAAGGTATAAATATTTGGATACGCCCGAGTAACATTTTTCTCAAAATTAGCGTATGTATGGGCGGAACAGATCTGCTAAATCTTTGATTCTGTTGGCATTATATCCTGCGTATGCAAAAGATGTTGCTGATGAAGGTACGAGCTGCAGACAATGTCATGTATGCAGAATGTAAAGTTCTTATTTTAGCAAGCATGATAGGGTTGACCAGATTCTTCATTCTTTGATTTTCTCTTTATGTTCTGAGATTTTGATTTTAGTTGAACGTTCTTACTTGGACTAAACACGCTCAATAACCATGCTGCAAATCTAATTCCGAAAATCAAAATAAATTATATTGGATTCATATAGCATTGTATAAAATTGTATATACAATTGTTCTATCTGTAGGAGTGACCAGTGAACATGATTGATGCAAACAATTTTATGGCAAGGTTTGAAGAATAAAAAACAAGCAAAGCATTGCTTTGTTGGAAGAAATAAGATAACATGCAAACATCTATATTCTATTGATCCTGCCATTGGCTTCTTCTTCCTGATAGCCGCGGGAGGGGGCCTTTCAATCACTCTCTTGCAACACCCGTCTAACTTCCACACACTTCGCTTCCGGGATTCTTCTGCGGCAAGGATTGGTACTGGCAAGTTGTACCGGCAAAGCTTTGGATAGGTACCACCTTTGAATTGGATAATCTAAGGTCTGTGAGACCCTTGGCAGATCCATTTTTCTTGGTTTCAGCTTCATATTCTTGCGTTTGAGTTTGAGGAACAAGCTCGGATTTTTCCATATGATTCCCATCTGAATGTCCTTGACTTTTTATGCCAAACTCCCGATCAACTCCATTGGAATTTTTGTTTAAGCATATGCTTTCCCACTGAATTTTTTCAGAGAGAGATCTTCTTCCTTTAAATTGTTTATCAACTGAAGTCCTTTTCGAATCATATTCAGTATCATCTCCACAAGCATAACTCCACTTGTAGCTCCTGTTGGTATTGTCCATGTTTAATTCAATGGAATGAAGGTCACTATCACCACCTGAGTCGTCTTCATCATCACACTCTTCTCTATATGCAGCAACTTCCATTCCATTCCCTTCTTTCTTTGCGCTCTGAAATGATCCGAAATTTATTTTCTTTAAATAAGCCTCAAGTTCTTTGATCCTTTTCAAATCTGGAGAGTCACCACTACCTTCACCCATTTTGGATCTCAAGTGAGCCTCTAGCTCATTCCTCAGCTGTTCCACAGCTGCATTTTTCTCCTCAAAATGATATTTGGCTTCTGAGAGCTTCATCTGGACTCTCTCCTCGCGCAAAACATCAGCTAGCTGAAGCATTTCCCTCTCCTTCTCCACCTCCTCTCGAACTTTTTCCGACTCTCTCTTTAGTTCTTCCACCTGTGCTCTGTCCTCCCCAAGACCTGTGGCTAACTCATCACAAACTTGCTCAAAAATCTCTTTTGCCCTCTTCTCCCTCTCAAGCTCTTTCGTGGCCTTTGACAGAGCTGCCTCTTTATCAGCCAGTTCTTTTCCAAGCTTCTTGTTTAACCGTTCTGTTTGTCTTCTTAGTTTCTTCTCCACCTCAAGTTCTTCTGCTATGCATGCTATGGAAGCACGTACCCTCTCTCGCTCCTTGCTTTTCCAGGCCGCCTTTTCTTCTGCAAACTGCCTCATGATGTACTCAATTTCGTTGCAGTTAGACCTCTGTTCTCGGATCATTTGATGAACCTGGATACGGGCTCGATCAAGCTCAACTCGTAAGGCTGAGAGCAAGGTTGTACTTAAGGAATGCTGCTCTTCAAGACCCCAAATGCGAGTAAGAACTTTCAAGAGCTCCTTGGATGTAGAAAGGCCCTTACTGACCTCCTTCAAACAGGTAAATCCATTAACGCATTTTCGATCAGGTTTTCCACAAGATTGATCTTTGACCTACAAATAATGATATGCAATCAACATGTGTTAAAGTTTATCATCCTTGAAATTCACCCTAGAAACCCCAGGGAGCCATATGCAGGTTCATCTTAACATATTCTCAGATATTCAGAATTTCTGTGCTCAAAAAGTTCAAGTCACAAACATTCTAGTTGATCATGCAAACAAATGCATTACAATAATACTATCAGGAGCAAGTCACAAAATAGGTTCTTCAAGAGCTCATTTCTTAAGCATGAAAGTGATGAAATTGATAATGAACTTTTGAAATGTACTATTCAATGAAAATGACAAGGCAGGAAACTATTTTTGATATTTATGATAGATGGGTTATTATCAGACAAATCTAATGGGGACCAATTTCTACAATCACTGTCAACATCTTGTCATTTTTTCAAAAATAATTTTGTGCCCCTTTGACACAAAAGGGAAAATTAAATTCCACAAACGACACAAACATGTCTATCTTTTTACCTAATCTGATATGCCCTGATTAATAGCATTGGTTTTTTACCTCAGTTAAACTGGAACTTCTATGAGTCTCAAAACCTCCCAATTGGTAATCAGTCAGATGAAGGTTATGAGAAACGGCCGACAATCTTCTCTGGTTTTCAGCTCCTCCAGATCCATTTTTCTTCTGCAGAATTTCCAAAAAGACAGTAACTTTGAAATTCAAATTCAACAACAAAAAAACAAAACAAAAATTACCCTTCCATAATATCAGCAAGAACAGAACTCTTCCCAACTGGAAAAAAAACTAATAATTCTTAAAACAAAAGCTCACAGGGAAATGGTGGCACATAATATGGAAAACGAAAAACCCAGAAAGAAAGATTAACAATATTTTCACAGCCAAAAAAAAAACAGAAAAGAGAGAAACATAAGCACAAAAGAAAAGTAAAATAAAATAAACCCACCTCAGATATAGGAGTATAAGATGGATCTGATAACTTCGGCGGCAAGGAACCCTCTAAAGATGGCATTTGAGCAACACCCTCTCTGATTCTCATTTCTTTAATGGCTTTAGCATCCTTCTTTTTCAAAGGCACTTCATTGATTTCCCACAAAGTAGCCGCGAGCTTTCTTGCTGAAACTGACAATGGCACACCCTTCCCTTTACCGCCACCGCCACCGCCACTGCCGCCACCGTCCTTCGAGGCCAGCCGCTGCTGCTGCTTTGCCAGCTCCTCGCCATCATCAGAAGCAGCATTCGGCATCATCACGGCGGCGCAAGGCGATGATCTGGCGGCGCTTATAGTCGTCTTCCAAGTCGGGACCGGCGTGCTCGACCCGCCGCGCTTACCCACCAGAATTGCCCGCTTCAATCTGTACCTACGGACCAGGGAAGAGGAAGACGACGAAGACCCGCCTCGCTTCCTGATTTTGCATTGCCTGTCGACTGGAGAAATGTGTGTATGCTGCTGGTTTTGCCAAGACATAGAAAATAAAATGTGCACAAAAGAAGGAAATGGTGAAGATCCAATTGGAAGATCTTGAAGATTTGGGCGATTGAATGAGAGATGGAGGGGGAGGAGAAGGGGAAACAAAAATCAAGGGGTTGAAAAAAGTTGATGGAAGTACATTGATGATAATGATAGTGTCAAGTTTTTCTTTTTGGGTAAGTAATTCAAACTGTCAGCCTCGAATTTAGCAAAGAAGAAGAAAAAGAGAAGTGTCAAAGATTCTGGGTTGTGGTGGATTTTGGGCAGTCTTAAAGAGGATCAAAGAAGCTCAAAAAGGTGTCAAACTATCAAAAACGGAAGGTGGGGTGTGAGAGAGAGAGAGAGAGAGAGAGAGAGAGATGGGAATTTTGGAAGAAGAATGGAAGCTTTTGGTTTAGAAATGTTGAGAGGGAAAAAACTAAAAAGCAAAAAAAATTGAAAAGGGAAAAGAATTGGGAAGGGATGATGAGAGAGTGATAGTTGGAAAATGGAGTTGGGAGTTTTTTATTTATTTCTTGTATAAGTCATAGTCTAAATTATAAGAGGTTAGGTTTCTCACATATACTATTACGGTGCCATTGAAATTCAAACCTAAGACTGGCACTAGTTCGTAAGTTAAGGCAGTATTTCACTTAGCTAGACTCCGTTAGCATGAAGTTTTGAGGTTTTTATTTAAAAAAAAATTATTTTTTAATATATTTTTTAAAAAAAAACAGAGAGAGAGAGAGAGAAGATGACGTGGCAAACATGTGAAGCAAGGGGTATTCAATCAGGGTCGTGCATGTGTAACTGTGTATTATATACGGCCCACAATGTTGACTAGGTTCTCAGTATTTAATTTTGTCTCCTTCCCCTCTCTCTAAGCTGGAATGTTCTGTTATTATTTTTGCTTAATTATCCTCGGATCTTGCGCCATCTGCTTAAACCCTTCCTCAAGTATTCATTTTTACTTTGTTTTAATCGACTCTGTCCATTTTAGATTACTTGATGTCAAAATTTCTATTTTGATTTTCACTTGATTTCGTCGTAATATTGGTTTATTTCCCACGTTTATCTCTCAAAAACTAATTAATTAAGTTTATGATTACATTTGACAGATTAAAAAAATACTCTTAACGTCAAATGTAGGAGTGGGAAGAGAGATGAGTAGAATGTCAAGCGGCATAAGTGCAAACCTGCAATTCTAAGTTTTTTGCTTTATACTTTATATTTTTTTTATTCTTAATTTGTATTTTTTGTGCTCGTATCAAAAGGGTTGGAAATTGGTCGAATCGGGGGTGGGTATGCCATTCTCATCTCCATTAAGCATTTTTTTTCCCATTTCTGCCTTCATACACATCTTCAATTCGAGGATTCCTCATCCCCACCTTCATTGAGAAACCGGTTCCTCGACCTGTCCCATTACGGAAAAAATAAAAATAAAATGCTACGAACCGGTTTTTCGACCTGTCCCATTACGGAAAAAATAAAAATAAAATGCTACTTTGTTAAATGAGGAAAAAAACATTATGAGTACAAGATTTGTATCAATTCCATTTTTATTAACTAAAAATCTAGACTAGTTTTCAAAAAAAAATTAACACATGTCATAACTACATGTTCAAGACATGAACTTCATTTCTCAACCAAAAAAAATAAAAAATTACATGAACATCATTATAGAAGTAGCACCACCATCATACATCATAATAATTTAATTATATGATAAAATAAATTACACACACACACATATATATATATATATATTATAAACTGGGAGGGTTCGGGTTAGGGATTAGAAAACCATCCCCGCCCCTCCCTAAACACCGTACTTGAAAAATTCCCCGAACCTCATACCCATTTTTTATCCTTCATACTCGACTCATTATGGTCGAATCTCCACGAAGATCCTTACCCATGAGGAAAATTACAATCCCTACTTATCAATCAATATCAATATATCAAATACTATTTAACATATCAATCAATATATCATTAAGGGGAATGCTAGCAACCTTCTCTCTAACTTTCTCCTTTGGACATTCTCTCTTTTCTTCATGACATGTGGCACTTTCAAAACAATATCATTAATGCACCACATAAGCTACATTTTGTTTTCCAAATTTAACCTTATTAAATGTATTATTCTTTGTGTATTGTTTTATTATATAATTTTTTTTCAAAAACCAATTGATAAAAAAAATATCAAATCGTTTAACAAACACCTAATTTCATTTTTTTTAAAGATCAGTTTTAAGAAATTGAATAATTAAACCACTAAGAATGAAATATGAAAAAATCGAAAAAACAACCCATAACCCAACCACGGGATGGGAAGACGAAGTGGGTGGCAGGGATCGAAGCCGCGGTCGTGGGGGAAGATTGGCGTGGGTGGGAGTCGCCTTCGTTGTGAAGATCAACAGGGTTGATGTTGGAGATTTACGCAATGTGTGGAGGGAGGGCGAAAATTGAGGCGAGGTGGTTACACCTCTTTACACAGCCAAGGAAATCAACGACGGGGGAAGGGTTGTTGGCTAGAGAGAGAAAAGGAAAGGGAGAGTAGTGGTAGTGGATGGCTGGGTTGGATTGGCAAGGAAAGAGGAGAGAGAATGGTGTGGTGGCTGGCTGTAAGCTAGGATTGGGAGAGGAGGCTGGTGGGTCAAAAGAAAAAACATAAAATTTATTCTATTAGTATTAATGTCTAGTCTTATTTTTCTATTTGTAAAAAAATGGATTATTAAAGGATAATTTAATAAGGGTAAATTGGAAAAACAAAAGCTAGTTTTTCTAATGCATTAATGACATTGTTTTAAGTGTAACTAAAGTACCACATCCACATGTGATGAAGGAAAGGGAGAAGGTTCAAAGGAGAAAGTTAGAGAGAATGTTGCTAGCATTCCCCTATCATTAATTATTGTAATGTAATGACAAGAACTCGAATACATCAAATCCAATGCTATTCAACGTAATGTCGCGCTTCAAAAGAATGTTATCTTCTATCTTAAGTGTCAAGTTATGAAGTACTTTTAGAATACTGGAACTAAATATATCCACTAATGACAAAATAGTAATGGATGAAATAGAGTACATCTTGATTTGTGCGGAAAGACCTTCCAATATGCAAAGACAAGGGAAGAGTGTTAAAAGCTAGAAAATAAAGGTGTTTATGACGAATACAACATGGATTTAAATAGGGTGGTGATTTTCCCACTCATTTTTTGTCCACTTACACTTCTTTTTGTTTTTAATAGTTTTTACTATAACAAAAAAAAAAAAGAGTGTAAATGGACAAAAGATGAGTGGGAACATACAATTTCTAACAAATGGAATGCAAATGGATAAAAGAGAAGTGTGAAAATCAGCTCCCTTTAAATATACCGTATACTATTCATGTTAATCTCTCATTTTAAAGAGAATGTTAACATAGTCCATTATAACTTACTTAATCAACGTAGGGGAAGTTAAGAATCAGAATTATTTTAAAATCTATGTGTTACTATATATATAACCACTGAGAGTTGGTTCAGTTAGTAAGGTCCATGTACTGCGTGTAGTCCTACCAATGTTCAAGTCCTACTGCCAGCAGTCCTTATTGATGCGCGATCTGTAATTTCCTACATAAATTCATACTTGTGGCAATTGACAATTGGATGCCACGCGTAGGTCATTCCGGCTCGAGATTGTGTGTATACTCTAGCGCTGGTAATGTGAGTAGCCAATCTCCCCTTAAATTTTTTTGAATCAAGTATGTGTTACTATATATAGAGAAGCATGAGTTAGAATAATTTCAATGCCCATTTGTGGGTATGCTATAAGTGTCATATACATTTGTGTCAAGTAAGGAAATCGTTCTAGTAAGGATTGGAACTAATGACAAACAAGTAATGGGTGAAATAAAACACTTCTTGATGTGCGTGGATCTTCTAAACATGCAAAGGAAGAGCAAGGTTGCCCAAAAAAAACAAAAAAGATATAAAGGGAAGGGAGTTTCTAACAATTGTGTAAATTAAAAATAAATAAATAAATAAAAAGGAAAAACAAAAGGGGTAAATCAAATATGCAGTACGGAGTAATAATTGCGAAATATCTTATCAAATCAAATGGCAGTACAGCTCACAAATATGTAATCAGTCAATCAAGCCTTAAGAACCTCCTCTTAACAAAAAGTTATGGGAAGAGAGGAGTGGGGTCCTACTAACGGCTCAATATGTTTGGGATTGGTTGGAGTTTCCTTGCTGTATGTTTTGGAACTTACACTCAAACAATTCTTATGGAAAACACCAACATAAATATAATTATAGATTGCGGCCCCCACACCTGCACCCCATGGCCAACCCCCACCCCCCATGAACATGATCTTCATGTCTTTTGCGGCTTTGCCAATTGAAATCTTGTGGCTCATGGATTGTCATATTCACTTCAAACTTGATAAATGTTGATGTTGGTGGTCCATGATGCAGCTCGATTTCAAATTTTTTGAAACATTCAAGTCACATGCCACAAGTTGTGTTTATCAGTATTGAGGCTACGGGAGCATAGCAATTAACCTTGTTCCTGAAATCCCTAGCACAACCAATGACATAAAATAAAACTAGCTAGGACGGTTCATTCATTCACATGCATGCATCTTGTGGTGGAAATGATGCGCGAAAAGAAAGGATTAGGATAAGGGGGAGAGCATTATTTTAAGCTATGCAACGATTAGATATCACTCACGTTACAATCAAAAAACACTCACTTATTTACATGCACGTATGAGGACTGGTCTTAACTTGCATATACTATAGTGGAAATGATGTTTTATAAGAGAGGATTAGGATAACTTAAGGAAGCGCAAATAACACTTTCCTTTTGTATTCTTGCATTCCTCTATAAGAGTACAAATAATTTGAAGTAGTGTTGTGGCATGTCGCTAAGTGCGGGGTGGTTCCTAACCATTGATGCATTTGGAGCCCTTACTCAAATGCACTACTAATTGTACAATTATTCAATAATTTTGTTGAAAACCCGTACGGCTCTTTGAATATAGGAGATTAAAGTTGGCTGATTGAGGGATGGAAGATGAGAGTGAAAGCAAGAAACTCATTGAAAGGTGAAATCACAAAGTGAGGTGGACACATATATGATTGCACTATTATTGCTTTGTTTTCTTGCATCCTCTTCTCAAAATTGTTGAAAGAAAAGTGAGTGACATTACTCTCCATTTGCATTAATATTCTTGCCCTCTTTATTCTTCTCGAGGGAGCGCTTTCAAATTTGATTGGAAAAATATATTCAACAGTTCATGCGTAGAACTAACAACACGTGGTCCTATTGCGGCACACTGTCACGCCAATTCTCTAACGTATTGGTAGGGCTCATTCTGAGTATACACAACGTCTCTTTTTAACTGTTTCTTTGAATTTTTTTTTATTTTTTTATTTTTGGGTCGATTGAGTTTTTGAACTACGATAATGTTTTTTCCCTTGAAAACATAT